GAATGATAAACAGTACATTGACCTTATAATATGGCAGACAGGTAATTGACTGATATTACAGAGAGTCTTCATTAAAAAAAAAGAAATTAATAAAAAAAAATCTGGTTTACATAATTATAACACTCCAAATGGGGGAGAAATAAACAATACCACATAATCACGAGTTTTTGAATATTCCCTGCAACAAATAGAAGAGATTTTGTTTTACTTTTCTTGCCCTTTCACAGCCATAATAACTCATTCAACTCAATTTTTAAATTACAAGCAAACTTGATTTTTTGGAAACATGTAAACATATTTTTGGCATTACTTTTTCCTAGGAGTATAACAAACAGCAAGGTCTACAGTTGTGTCTTATTTGCATTTGCTTAAGTTTGACAAGTACACTCATTGATAATGTATTCCAGTCAAGTATGATTTCAAACAATGCTATACCAGCATATTGAGGTAAATTGATATTGGCATAACAACAAACACTCACAAAATGTCAATGTTAGACAGATAAACTAAAGGTTTCTTGAGTAATATATTTACGACTGAATTAACAGTATTTGTATTAATATCCGAATAAAACATTTAACCTTACAGTGTTGATACGATATCAATGTGTAGCAACCACGATAACTAATATGAATGACCTTGACAATTAAGGTCAGTGTCATAAACTACACAAGTACATTTGATGACATCGGATACAAACAGTTCAATAGATATACAACAGCATCGTAAAATACCAGTATTATATATGACATTACATATTAAGAACAGTAAATAGTCATACGACATATTAAGAACAGTAAATAGTCAGACGACATATTAAGAATAGTTCCCAGTACATTGTATGCCGTGACAATGAACAATCATATGACATATTACGAACAGTATGACGCGACACGGTAATGGTACATATTGTTATATGATAATAAGCTTGACGTCAGTATAGCATGTAAATGTGCCAAGATATGACAGAGCCCTATGTACATTTAATGCTATGTTCAGAAATACATGTAATTGTTAACAGAAATTCACAGTAATTACCAGACATGTAATTGTTTACAGAAATACATGATAATAGTCTACATGTTATTATGCTTACAGAACCTGTACTTCATCAGTGTGATCCTCAACATTAAGGATGTATGCTACCTTACTGTGACACAGAGACTTAATGATGTGTGTTACCTTACTGTGACAAGGAGACTTAAGGATGTATGTTACCTTACTGTGACACAGAGACTTAATGATGTATGTTACCTTACTGTGACAGAGATTTAAGGATGTATGTTACCTTACTGTGACAGAGATTTAAGGATGTATGTTACCTTACTGTGACATGAAGACTTAAGGATGTATGTTACCTTACTGTGACATGAAGACTTAAGGATGTATGTTACCTTACTGTGACACAGAGACTTAAGGATGTATGTTACCATGCTGTGACAAGGAGACTTAAGGATGTATGTTACCTTACTGTGACAGAGATTTAAGGATGTATGTTACCTTACTGTGACATGAAGACTTAAGGATGTATGTTACCTTACTGTGACATAAAGACTTAATGATGTATGCTACCTTACTGTGACAGAGATTTAAGGATGTATGTTATCATACTGTGACATGAAGACTTAAGGATGTATGTTACCTTGCTGTGACATAAAGACTTAAGGATGTATGTTACCATGCTGTGACAAGGAGACTTAAGGATGTATGTTAACCTTACTGTGACAAGGAGACTTAAGGATTTATGTTATCTTGCTGTGACATGAAGACTTAAGGATGTATGTTACCTTGCTGTGACATGTACCATAAACATGAAGTGATTTGTTTCAGAGTTATCACACTTATGTATAAGCCATATTATTGTTTACAAAAGATATTTTACATGTATCTTGATTTGGAACTCTCCAGGAAAGGCAAGAAATACATGTAACAGCAAGGTACATATATAGCATATATACACCATTTACATCAACATAAACCAACATTATTTTCCAGAAACTTTCATGTTCCTCAAATATAATTTGAACACTAAAAAATAATATTGTCAACATGAAAAGTGCCGACATAATTTTTACCACTAAAATAGGATAACCACTAAAATTAAGCAGATGCACAGTAATAACATATTTCTTATCAATTGCCATCAAGCCTTGACATCCATAGATATAAGTTATACTGTAAACATCAGTAAATAATGTAATAAATTGTATTATAACAAAGCATAATAAACGTAATAGGGTGAAACAGAATAACACACAGGTAAATATACATTGTATATATGACACTTACAATGGAATATCTCAGGCATGCGTGTTATATATCTAAAATTCTTCTGTGTTGCTATACAGTAACAGATAACAAAGGTAACAGTGTAAAATGAGGCTTCTGCAAACAAAATAATCAACAAAAACAAGCAACAACAGGCACCAATTGTGATTAGGTGAACGATCATCAATCTATCCCCCTCCCCACATGCAGTAACAGCCGTGATCCCCACCCCTATTGTAACAGAGTAGATTCCCTACAGTAACAGTCGAGATCCCCAGCCCTATTGTAACAGGGAAGATTCCCTACAGTAACAGCCGAGATCCCCAGCCCTTTGGTAACAGGGTAGATTCCCTACAGTAACAGTCGAGATCTCCAGCCTTATTGTAACAGAGTAGATTCCCTACAGTAACAGTCGAGATCTCCAGCCCTATGGTAACAGGGTAGATTCCCTACAGTAACAGTCGAGATCTCCAGCCTTATTGTAACAGAGTAGATTCCCTACAGTAACAGCCGAGATCCCCAGCCCTTTGGTAACAGGGTAGATTCCCTACAGTAACAGTCGAGATCTCCAGCCTTATTGTAACAGAGTAGATTCCCTACAGTAACAGTCGAGATCTCCAGCCTTATTGTAACAGAGTAGATTCCCTACAGTAACAGCCAATCCCCAGCCCTATTGTAACAGGGTAGAGCCCTACAGTAACAGCCGAGATCCCCAGCCCGATTGTAACAGAGTAGATTCCCTACAGTAACAGTCGAGATCTCCAGCCTTATTGTAACAGAGTAGATTCCCTACAGTAACAGTCTAGATCTCCAGCCCTATTGTAACAGGGTAGATCCCCTACAGTAACAGTCGAGATCCCCAGCCCTATTGTAACAGGGTAGATTCTCTACAGTAACAGCCGAGATCTCCAGCCCTATTGTAACAGGGTAGATCCCCTACAGTAACAGTCGAGATCCCCAGCCCTATTGTAACAGGGGAGATTCCCTACAGTAACAGCCGAGATCCCCACCCCTATTGTTACAGAGTAGATTCCCTACAGTAACAGCCAATCCCCAGCCCTATTGTAACAGGGTAGATCGCTACAGTAACAGCCGAGATCCCCAGCCCGATTGTAACAGAGTAGATTCCCTACAGTAACAGCCAATCCCCAGCCCTATTGTAACAGGGTAGATCGCTACAGTAACAGCCGAGATCCCCAGCCCGATTGTAACAGAGTAGATTCCCTACAGTAACAGTCTAGATCTCCAGCCCTATTGTAACAGGGTAGATCCCCTACAGTAACAGTCGAGATCCCCAGCCCTATTGCAACAGGGTAGATTCCCTACAGTAACAGTCGAGATCCCCAGCTCTATTGTAACAGAGTAGATTCCCTACAGTAACAGTCGAGATCCCCAGCCCTATTGTAACAGAGTAGATTCCCTACAGTAAATGTGTACTTCTAGATTAACTAGATAAATTGTTGAAGTCAGTGCTATATTAATTGTGTATATAAAGTCACCATAGCTAGTCAATACCTTCATACTTATCTGGTCTGCTTACAGACTTACAGACAAACATAAATCTGGCAGACAAGGTCATACATGTAGATCAAGGTCAAAGTGGAATGTAAGTTTGACCCAGACTTTAGACAAGGCTACTTGATAACAGAACAAACCAATGTCACATGATGCACACAAATACTCTATTGTAACATGGGAGTAGCTAGAATAAAATTAATTAAACTTCTGTTACATTTACTTATATCCTATTTTCAACGAAAGTTTTGTAATGAGATTTATTTTCTTAAACATGTTTTCAACCTTTTTTTCAAATGTGTGATTGGAAATAAACTTCAAACATCTACAGACTTGTGACCTATTTATAATTTACATAGAATGCACATAATTAATTATTTTTCAACATCAAAACTGAGATTATTATTTTCTACAATTATTTTTTTCAATAATAATTAAATGGCCGCAGGGCTATATCCGGACTGACATCTAGTAATAATGCCATGGAATTCAGGCAGATGAGTCATAGGGCATTGCCCTAGTTAATAGACAAGATCCCATATAGTTTTTACCACAGCAAAGGGTTGGCACTCATCAGTACTGAGATAGATAGCAGGACAGTTTGGCTGCAGAGGAGCTGGAGTTGTAAATAAATGCAGACTGTTTTTTTTGTATTAGGTGCAGAAACCTTGACTCCTAACATACAACAGAAATGTATTGAGAGATCATATGATCTGTTTTACATATTTAAGAAAAATATGTTAAAGAACCCAGGCTGTTTATTTTTACCTGAATAAATTATTAACTCTTGACGAGACAAAAGTAAAGAAAGATTTATCACAATGACTTTTTGAGCATTGTATTAATTTCTTTCAACTTTAAAAATCATACACCTGTAAAGAATAGATTTGGTTTCATTCCTTTAGATTCAAAATATAGCCTTTATACATATCAATTAATACTAACATTGTATTAAATTTATTTTAATTGATAAATCAGGTATGTTTTCTGGGATGATAACATCCTGTCTCCACTTACGAATTACATTGGTACGAATTACATTGGTACATATAACTCCTTGATTTAGTGGACAATTCTGGCTGATGCTCTTAATTGAGTTAGTCATTGCACTGCTTCCTCGAGATGCAGTTGATGGGTGAACTGGCTACCAGCCCCTAAGATTTTATGAAGAATTTCTCAGCTGCATTTTACTACTAGCTTATCTCCCCCTAGTTTAGAACTTGGGAATTAGACATCCAAGTGATCAAAATTCTTTGAGTTAAACTTTTTTCTTAATAATTCAATATTCTAGAGACCGTGGCCAATCTATTGAGGGGTATATTGACTGATTTTAGTAAAGCCCTTGAGTTCTCTATGACTAGTATATACCCGTTGTACATGTTTTAGTCTGGTCCCGAGGCTACATGGCCAGACCTGGAAAGCTGCCAACACAAAATTCCCTGCTGACATAAATGCCAAGTTGGTAAATGTATCACAATTACCTCCAGAATCTGTTGTTCAGCACAGTGCTGTGCTCCTTGTAATGTGTGCGAGAGTCTATCTGTACTTACATCTAACCAGAACGACACCTATGAGAGAATGTAACAGTAACAGTTATCCCCCTTCCTTTTGACTTCTACACCAAACTATAACCTAGGGGTCACTGCCAAAAGATATGCCAGAAATTATTTACGTAAAAAGAGAAGAATACAGAGGATATCTCCCGATTAATTCTCTAAAAGAGTTATTGATTATAAATACATGATTAAAAGACTTCTTATATAAACATACATCAGAAAGGTTATTCATCAGGTTACAAAAGTCTACTAGTTATCTCCCCTTATCTTAAGAACTCTTTAAAGACTGTATTTACTAAGGTTACATGTAACTCTAACAAGAACACTCCTCTCACTTTCTAAACTACTTGTTATCAAGGACTACAAACATGCTGGGGTTAATCAGGTCAAGACAGACACACCAGCACTTAACTTTATGGCAAGAATCTTCAGAAATATCACAGTTGAACGAATGATGAATGATGACTCAATACATAACGCTCCTCAAGAGAGTTTTTGCATTTTTTGTTAAAAAACTTTCAAAAGTTCCTAAACCTGACAACTACCTCTAAAGCTGTTCATGTAAAACTTGTAAGAGCTAGAGCACAGAACAGACGTACCTCTAATGAAACATTACTACGTTCACATCTGGAATTATTATATGATTTCAAACAACCAGCAGTGATATGTACTTTTATAATTTCTAATCAATCAAATCATATTAAAGTAGAAACTGAATACTTTTCTTGCTGCTGACAAAATTTTAAAAAAAAGTTGGGGATACTTCACATATATTTACCCAAAAATTAAAAACACTTTTTTAACATGCTTAGCTTTTAACTAAGTTTTTCATCAAATAAACGGTAAAATTAAAAGAACTCTATCATGCCCGTGCTTACCGGGTGATGTACAGCCATATTGGTTAGTAATTACTGGAATAGAGGAAATGTTCTGCACAGCGTAACTTTCATTCCTCCTGTCAACGTAATTCCTACTGACAACAAACATCAGTACAGATGAGACCCTGCTATACATAACTGTGCGTTGATTTTTATTTTGAACAGCAAAACAACTCTTGGGTGGAAATGGATTTCAACCAATGAAGGGAAAATAGGGTAGTTTCCCAGCACACTAAATATCTACAATAATTAGAAACTGATTAATAAAATATGCTTCAACATAAAATTGTTTTATGATATATCTGAGCTACGGTATTCGTAAGACAAGCCATTATGAATTATAATAAACTGTATGAAAGGTGTTTGTTTAATTTAAGGTGTTTTTCCTGGCTGGCATTTAACTTTACAATCGACACAATAAACAATGATCGGCACAGAAAACAAAGACAAACATTAGATATAAAACAGAAAACAGACTGTGCAGAAAAATATGACTACCTTGAAAATAAAATTGACATGTTGAGGCAACATCTAAAATTTGTAAAATGTAATTGCCTATTTGGCCAGAAACAGACTAAAATATTGTAAGCAATTCAAAACGGGTAGGAGAAGGGCACACTCATGAGTATGTTTAGATTTATGTGCTGAGGCCGCCATTTCCATATCCCCCACACTATTGAACCTTCTAGATTATTATTGCAGGTACATTAACGCAATGTTAAAGATAATTTGAGGATTCTTTTTTTGATTTTTTTTTTTTTTATAGTGTTTAATTTTTTCTGAATTTATATCTTGAGCAAAATATGCAAAAATATAATCACAGTATGTATATCCCAATTTATGGCATATTTACAGATTGAGTAAACATGTTTTGCTGTACATCTGTTCTCTCCTGATTCTATATGTTGACATCAACATAAGGAAAACTATGTAAATGATATGAGCCAAGAGTATCAGAACTACAACCAAAATGGATTGATAAAAATGTCTCCAATCTTAATCAACTGTGATTGGTTTACATATATCTTTTACTAATGAATTGAGTTTGTCTCAGAATTATCTACCAGGATTGGCTGTTATCAAACCTGGAGATTTTACTGGTTTATATTACTGTTACTGTAACTAGTCAACACTTCATTGGATAAAATTCCCTGACTGGCCAGAAAATGGATACTAGCAAAAATGTGTAGACTGTTACAACAAGGATTCCTGCTGATTTTCCAATTACAATAACTGCTGTTAATCATTTGTAACGATCATGTTTGTCTATGATGTTAAAAAACAAAAAAAATCAGGGAACACATATCTTTATCATTGACTACGGTAATGCTACTGTACTACAATTGCAACAAATCATTGTGAACAAATAAGTAAATCAAACATGTTTGTTTACAACTGTAGACCATAATGGACTCATCCAGATCAATTCATGGTAGAGTCTACTAAAATTACATAGGGGTGAAATGAGTTAAACGTGTTGAACAATATAAGATTGTCAATCGACCTGTTAGAATGTAAATATTTAGTACATGAAAACTGCCCTGTATGTACTTGAGTATGTATATGAGTATATTTAAATATATATTTATGAATGAAAATGGAAATAGAGCAAATCAAAGCTGCTGTTAACAGATATAACAATTAACATTAATTAACATAATTCTATTCACATATTATAATTTGTAGATATGGATGCTACATAACAAATACTACCTAGTTTGTCTACGGGTTTATGGCCTACATGACTCCAACCATACGGGTTTCGTCTTACTGACAGAGGTCAGCTGTCAGCGTATTATGTCTATGGTCACTAGACTTAGGAGAGTATAGTTCACTTGGAGTCAGTATATAAAACGATACTGTCGAAATTCAAACTTGCTGCTTCAAAGTATTATCATAGTACCAAAATAAAACCTGAAAGTTTGACCATTCCTGAGATATTTTCTTGTCAGCAGGAATAGTTGATTACTTTTTCAAGTTCATCGTCATTAACTCACAGCAGTAGTACATAAGGCATTTCTTGAACTGATTTACACTTAAGGCTAATGACCACAATTTCAAAGTCGACAGACCATGGACATGTAAATTTATTTCAATTTGAAATCCATTTACCTATAATATGCATTAATTTATGTGACTTGTACTTAGGCATATGTACATCTTAACTCATTCACCCCTGAAATTTCATAATGAACTATTCCAACCTTTGAATTGGAAGAGTTCAAATGTGTCTTCAGGGGTGAATGAGTTAACAAATATCACTGTGAGAAAAACAACCACAATAGTCTAAATATTAACATCAACAACAGCTGTTGCCATCCATATAATTGCTGAAATCCAGTACAGAGGGTAGATAGGCCTAGGTGGAAATATATATGGCTCAGGAAATTGCATTGAATTAAAATCTTGTTGAAGTATGGTCACATGTTATTTAATTTCACAAAGGTTTGACAACTGAAGTTAAACCATCTGATTATCAGCCACTGTAGGCAGGGTAAAGGTATCATTTTATTGTTTTCAGTAAACCATATTTTATAATTCATTATATTTATATTGTTTTGTTGACACTTTTGATAAACAAAACTGATTTTGTGGTACAAGGTTTTTCAATGGAGTTGTCAGACATAGGGCAACCACGTGCACTTGGTCTAGAAGATGGAAAAATGCATATGTTACAGCCAAGATCTTTGTAAAATGGGGGTTTATCAGGGGATTATAGAAGACAGACCCTGGGATGAAATGGTGAAAAAGTCATCACCATAAAAAAACATTTTTGCGAAATTTTGATGACCACTGTATATACATGTAACTCCAAGTACATGAAGTTAGCCCGTTTTATTTTCAGTAAAGTCTCATCTTTATGACAACAACATCATTCTGTCTTCCTAGATATGCTGCATTTTAAGAAATCAGTAAATTGTAACAGAGTATTTACATTCCTGGATTTTTTTTAGATTTTTTTTAGATTGAAAACTTTATATGAGAGAATTTGGAAAATACCAGACATTTTGATCAGGGATTGAGGCCCTTTAGACCAATAAAGTACCCTGATTAACGCTTACACAATATCTGTTTGTTCTCACAGTGATAATGTTAAAGATGTATATTAAAGATGGGATATAAAATGACAGCTGATATTCTACCATCTGTATATACATGTATATACAATTAACTCATTCATCCCTACATTTTTAAACTGGACTTGCCCAGTCTTTGATATGGTAAAGTTCAAGTTTGACTTTAGGGGAGAATTGGTAATGTCATCTATATTGAACCATACCCTCGTTATTATTCGAGACCTATATACATATATATACACCAGTTAATTAATACATACAGTATAAGGAGATTAGTACCTGGATCTTATACAATTGAACTTCATAATGATATATAATACTTGGGAAGATCACAGTACACGTATACCGATACCTGGAATATACTGTAACATATCGATACATGTACAGCTGTTAAAGCCGATTAATATCTTATAGTACCACAAACCATTTAATACACTACATCTGTGTTTACATTACATGGAGCAGCTCAACGGACTTGAATAATATTGAATAATATTAATTAGTCGTCTAAATCTGAGGCAGTTTGATACGGGACTGAATCAGAGAAAATGTTCAATTCTTGATTGTTGTTTTATTGCAATAAAACCTATCCTGATGTTTTTAAAAATGTACTTTTTAATTCTGATGATTATAACTACATCCTACTCTTCTTTCTCACTTTCTCAAATAGAAGACAATTAAAATCTAATATTTAAAAAAAAGAAAAAAAAAGTTCCAGTGCTAAAAATTCAGAAACTGAATATATAATACTGTTACAGATATAAAATTGACATTGCAAATAATTTGGAACGACAACCAAGTTTTAAAACCAGTACAAACATTTCAATGGTTTTCAAATCTAGTCTACACATATGTACATGCAACATAACCTGGCAAGTATGTAATAAAATGTATTTACTAGAAGTCATCGTAACAAAACCAACACTGAGGCACCTTTGAATTTTTTGAGGCAATTTTGAAATAATTAAGGACAAACAATTATAAATGATAACAAATAGTACAGTAAAAGACTGAATTACACTAATCTGTATATAGGTTAAATCAATCAAATGCTTTTAATTCTAAGGTTGTTTTTTGTATACCATATAAATTGGTGTACCAATACAGTGTATGCTAATTAGCCACGTTGGTGAAACAATGTATGAAATCTATTTGAACTCACAATAAATGTCCAAAAAGTGCTGCCAGAGAGATTTAATATTTGTTACAAATGTATATATATATTAACCAGATCAACCAATGACAGAGAGGCCGAGTCACAAAAGGTTCTCTATAACGAAAATTATATCAAAACCATGAAATATTCCACTAAAACACTCTCTTCATGAAGAATTCATTGAAAACACAACATAATTACATTTTTCCCTCGTCTAAACAAAATTAACTGATCATAATTTTCTCAGATGTATGAATTTTTATAAATACATGTGCTTCTACTTTTATCCTGCTATTCAGATATTACTTATACTCAACAACTTTGATTTTAAATTTGTAAATAATTTAGACCAATTGTTTGATGACCTTCCAGGCTGTGTTCATGCAGAAACTGAATATTCATGAACTGACCAACCCATCATAACCATTAAAGACTACAATGTAGCATGCTGCAAAGCTAAGTGTATAGCACCAAGCATGAACACAACAAACTTAAACATATATATATATTTATATATACTTCCCATCAATACCGCTTATTTTACATCTGTATGCTCAGTCATGATCATCCCTCACTTAACGTTTAAATTTAGTTCTAAATCAGGCCCAGTATTCTCTATATATTCCCCAAATTATCCCCTAATGGCAAAGGTTATAGGAAAGCCTTAAGCTTGAAACTGATACCCGATTCAGTCAAGCCTGAATTTTTCACGGCAAAACCTTTACAGTATACTGTATATTAATGCTGATGATCCAATGAAGTTTAATGATATATCTGTAATTAGCATATTCTTCCAATTCATGACAATGACTCTTCGTCGACACCACTGAAATGTAAAATTCTGTTAATGAAATGTGTCAAATTTCGTTCAGATTTCTTCCCCGTTATATTATAAAACAAACATATCTAACAATACACATGGTCGTATCCATAACAGCACACAAACGGTGTATCTTAGTTAACAATTAATGTAAATACCGCAACTCTGCACCAAATTACCGGATGACGTTGAAATACTTGATGAAACATGCATTCTAACCCATCATCAGGCCTCCTCTAACTGAATTATATCATCACACTGATCATCAGGAGATTCTTCCCGTCCCACAGTTAGCGGTGTCACGGATGGGCCACTCTGCGAGCCCATTCGTACGGCACCTTCACGTGATTGGTGAATCTCTGAACATGACGCATTGCTATTGTTACGACAGGACGTACAGTTGATCACTTCATCAAAACTCTTACTGAAGTAGTACGACAGTTTAGCATAGAAGAATGGTCGAAGTGCCAAGTCAAGCACAGCCAATATGTCACAATATTCGTAGATATTCCCCCAAAGATGATAGTTATCCGACCCGTGGGTAGGATAGTCACTGAGCATGTCGTCTGCGGAAATGTTTGTACTGTTCAGAGACATATCCAAGTCCAATTTAAGGTTACTGAATGATGTCAGTACCATGCGGGACTGATAGAACACAATAAAACTCACAATCTCGTGCGGTAGTTTACAGATGCCGAAACTGACTATTAGTAATGTGACCATACGAGAAAGTCGACGCTCCCGGTGCGAGTAACTGTCTGCAAAGAATCTCTGCGTAAAGTACCAGGTGACTACGTACACTATGGCAATCACAATAAGTGGCAGAGCATATGAGAATGCCACTTTTAAATAACTGTTCCTTTCAGTCTCTGCGTTTAAAGAGGCGCTACGCAAACACCCATAATCATCGTCCTTCACAATTGCTTTTGCATTTGGGATGTTTGCAAGCATTGTAAGGACCCAGATGACAAGACTGCTTATGAATGCATGAACAACATAGGATTTTGAATAATGTGCACGGTCCGTAAGCATGATGCAGCGAATAATACTGAGTGCGACAAGATGACAGGAAGCCACATACGTGCACGTTTCTACAAGGTAGAACATGGACTGACACCATTCCGATGTGATGACGTCACCCTTGTGTGTCCATCGGATCACATTCTGTAGGATCTCCGGCGTGATTTTGAGCAGGTCTGCCACAGATAATCCACCAATCATCACATAAAGATGAATTTTCGGATACTTGAAAAAGATCAAAGTCCGAATCACTAGCAGGTTTCCCACAATGCACACCACTCCGATGAGACTTAGGAGTACACATTTTATCAGAACTTCAACATTTAGCTCCAGCCCCGTGTCGTTTTCTTCTAACTCATCCATCGTGTAGACCTTGTCTCATCACATCATCTGTAACAAAGTAATGAAATAAATGTTTGAGTTACACAAATTAATGACACTTATTTAAATCTTAAGCAAGTCTACAGGTCTGGTGATAATCCTACCAATATTTATAACAGTTGCGTAGAAAAGCCATCAATTGCTGTTTTATTGTTCTATAATAAGCCCATCCCCTGGTTTGAGATATCATGTATTGGCCACCTGGGTTTGTAGCAGGAAAAATAAGGTACTCTGCTAAAATAAATAAAGCTTAAATTTCAAAGAGGTTTTTCTTTTCCTCATTTATTTGGAAAAAATACCAATTTGTGCAGTGCAGAATTTGTGACTTTAAGACGTGATTTCATTGGCCAATCTTCTAATTGACGTCAATTAACAATGCTTTGTGACGTCATCTGCCATTGTGATGTCATAGTTCATGGCACCGTTTTCCCGATCATCAACGGGAATAAGGTATTATCAAGAAAAACATAAGGTTTTCTTGATATAATATCTGAACGTTGTGGGAGAAAAAGGCCCCAAAACTTGTGATGGATGAAAATCATGTTTATCTAACTCTTGTTTATTAATTTTCAAATGTAAAAGACACTCAGTAAACCTGGTGTCTTTATACATAAATTTGAAAATTAACGAACTTGAGTTAAATAAACATGATAACCAACTATTACTCTTTGAGGAACCTCTATATACTGGACTACTACTCTTTGAGGAACCTCTATATACTGGACTATTACTCTTTGAGGAACCTCTATATATTGAAATATTATTTTTTGAGGAACCTCTATATACTGGACTATTACTCTTTGAGGAACCTCTATATACTGGACTATTACTCTTTGAGGAACCTCTATATACTGGACTATTACTCTTTGAGGAACCTCTATATACTGGACTATTACTCTTTGAGGAACCTCTATATACTGGACTATTACTCTTTGAGGAACCTCTATATACTGGACTATTACTCTTTGAAGAACCTCTATATACTGGACTATTACTCTTTGAGGAACCTCTATACACTGGACTATTACTCTTTGAGGAACCTCTACATATTAAATTTCATTTTAATACATTTCACTTTTATTGTAAAAAATTATCAAATCACCAAAACTATAATTTCATTTGTACATAGTGAAGAACTGTTATATCCTGACTATTATATAAGGTAGAGTTATCATGAAGCCTGAAGTAGTCTATGTATATACCCGATTTACCAACAGTCCTTAAAATACAAACTACTGAATAAGCGTAACATAAAAAATAATGTTATTTTGAAAGTATAAAAACCGTTGACAGTTTTATGTTCTATTGATATTTGTGATAGAGTTGATAACTTTGATATTGGGAGATGAAGTAGTGTGAGTTATTGACATTTTTGATGTACATCATGTACTGTGCTGACCTGCCCATCAGCTAAGGTTAAATAAAATATCATTTTGAAATTACAGAAAAAAGACATCCCCAGGAAATCAAATCATCATGATACACAATGTGTATTACACAGTATATGTACAAAGTTAATTACCTGTTACACATTTCCATGCATGTCAATCAATATATATGTAGCTACATATACCTCAGTCATAATTTCTCAATGCGCCAAACTTCCACTAATATTCTATTCATGAATCAAAGTTTTAAGCATCAAATTTCTTGCTGTTTCGGGGTATAATCAAGGCACATTTGTTATGAAATTATTGAAAAGTACACAAACACTATATATGTACATTACTACATCCGGAATGCCTACTACATTAACTCATTCACCCCTGAAAATTTATAATGAACTATTCCAACCACTAATTTGGAAGAGTTCAAATGCGTCTTCAGGGGTTAAATCAGTTAAGATCGATGTTATCACTACAGTGCTGATCATTTCTAATTACAGCACCCGAGAAGATACACATTTGAACCTCATTCTGACAACATTTGTCATGAGAAATGTTGGCATTACAAAGGAGCGTCTAACAAGGTATACGTGTATATAACTCAAAACAGGCTAAATTCCAGATTGTTGATATATGATATGAGGTAGTTATGTACGTTTTATCAATCTGCTGCCACAAACATACGTGTATGTGATATAACCAGACATGTCGCTTTCATGTGACTATCTCTCATGGTCAATATTGAGTACAACATAACGCATGCAGCGATAAGACGCCGCACTTTCGCTGCTTTGAAGCTTTTGTTGGAGAAGGAGTTACACAACACTTGCGGCTAACTTTCTATATATTGTTTTTACGTATTGACCGAGGTTGGTAATGCAAGGACATCTGTAAGTTTAAGGTTTACTATATCTGCCATTGATGATGAAACCGCAAACTGTTAATCCAACAAAATGCTGCATGTCGTCAAGAATGCTTACACTGATATATAAAGATTACATGTACAGCAAAGCATAAAACACCTGAAATTTTTGAAATCATCCAACCATGACAGTCTCATTTACCTGGTAAGTGAAGGTGTAACATGATACATAGGTATACAAATCCAAACTAAGGATGTCGTGTGTTCTCATTACTTCCTTGCAATAATTGTCTGCTATTGGGCAATACATGTACATATCTAATACATGTGATTAAGACATATTTTATTGTCGAAACAGACAAATAGATTAGAGATAAGTTCTAACAACTTACAAGCTCTTCTCCACATGTATTCCGCAGACTCCAATGATTAATGTGTTCTGTACTAGCACAATGCATACCATATATGCAATGATTTTAGCACAATATATCCAAATGCTAATTCACTAAAAACTTTAATTCCAAAATATGGATTTCTATGTAATGATTCCATGGAAAAATCACAAATATATACACTTACCTCTAATAGATATTCCCACAAACTGTCGTACCATAACCAAAATCTTATAAACCAACAGCAACGGATACCGTTTTTAACTTTTACCTCTAACTGGCATTATATATATGATTACCATAAACCGTCGTACCTTAACCAGCATCTTATATACCCAACTCCAACAGAAAAAGGAAACTGAAGACGATTAATACGCCAACGTGAAAATGAATGTGATTGATGACTGTTTTATCTGTCTAGACAGAATAAAGTATTACAGAGGATCATATGCATTGCCTCTGTCAAGTCAAGGAAGCTATACATGTTCAATAAGGCCACGCAACAAGACAGAAAACAAGGATTTGGTTTAAAGTCTCTTCAACTTTTGTTCCTAAACTTTATTTCATATCAATCAGTTTTATTACACTAAAAAGATGTACAATTCAATCTTTGTTGTTATTTACATCTCTGCTAACAAAAAATGACAGATTTGATCAACTGATTGAAAAAGGACTCTCCCCAAGGTATGTGTGGTATACCTTTTAGCTGACAAGACTTTTTTTAAATGGACATAATGTACCATTCTGTGATAGATCAGTGGAAATGAAAATCAGTAACTGTCAACCATGTTTTATTTATACAGTATCATACCTGCTCTTAGAGGATTCTCCTGGACATGATCAGCATTGTTGCTAGGAAACAATGGCATCATTTGAATTCAGAATCAATCCCAGGAACATTAAATGCCTAACTCCGTCATCATGTAGCTATAAACAGCTATGATAAATACGCATTTAATGAAACCTTCAAATGGAAAGTAGAAAATTTTGTTCAAGACTTAATATTTGTAATTATCTAAAATGATAGGTGATACATACCACATGTACATCTAATTGATTAAGGTCAAACAAAATACCTGTTTGACATAAAGAAAACCCAGAATTCCATGGAAGTGTATATCTCAAGATCACCTACAGTCCTACAGGTGGGGTAATGGCTGAATGCAGATATTCAACTGAAAATCAAATGCAAGTTGGGATTTGATACCATAATATAAATATTTGTAGGAAGTGTTGTTGAAAAACAAATTGTTATTTTTAAGATTGCAACAATTCGAGTATAAATGTAAGTTTGTCATAAACTGCCATCAGATGTAAAAGAGTATGTATTTAAGCACTGGTTTTCACTGATACAGTTGCATGATCACTGATGACACCAAAAGAAGTTTTAGGAAAGAAAGAAATCAATCACTTTAAAATATGCAGATGTGAATTTATAAGTTTTCTTTTATAAGTAAATTTTCCTGTATATATACATGAGGCACTATAACGAAGGCTTGTACGTACGGTATATAAAGACGACCCATCATACCACAGGTTCTCTGGTATACAGCAGTCAATATCGTAATGTACATCAATATTCACAACAGCAGTTTTTTATCATGCCCTGAGAATCAAATGACCACAAAGGTTTTGATCATCAACATGACAACAAAATCACAAAGCTGATCTACATACCCAGTAAGTGCAACTGTAGTTATATACACAAAATCACAAAGCCGATCTACATACCCAGTTAGTGCAACTGTAGTTCTACACAAAATCACAAAGCTGATCTACATACCCAGTAAGTGCAACTGTAGATATACACAAAATCACAAAGCTGATCTACATACCCAGTTAGTGCAACTGTAGATATACACAAAATCACAAAGCCGATCTACATACCCAGTTAATGCATCTGTAGATATACACAAAATCACAAAGCCGATCTACATACCCAGTTAGTGCAACTGTAGTTCTACACAAAATCACAAAGCTGATCTACATACCCAGTAAGTGCAACTGTAGATATACACAAAATCACAAAGCCGATCTACATACTCAGTTAGTGCAACTGCAGTTATACACAAAATCACAAAGCTGATCTACATACCCAGTTAGTGCAACTGTAGTTATACACAAAATAGGTTACAATCAAAATGCATGTGATATTGTCACATATCGTCAGATGTATAACCTTTATAGAACAAGAGGCCCATGGGCCTTAACGGTCACCTGATATATTTATACAGAGAGTTGATTTCGTTTTTAACATAAACAGAAATATTATTCAAAGTGACAAAAAACAATAAAACCACCTTATTCAATATCAAGCATACAGATTTCAGACTAAAAAGGATTTGAAACTAGCACCTCTGATTCTAAACA